ACTCTTATACCATACGAAAATAAACTCCAAAAAGGACTAAAGACTTATAACACAACACCTGAAACTGTAACTCCTTGAAAAACACATATGGGAAAAGTCTCATGACATTAGTCTCAGCAGTGATTTCATGGATATGACACCAAAATCACAAAAGCAGAAAGAGACAAGCGGGGCTACATCAAACTAAAAAGCTTCTGAACAGCAAAGCAAACAATAGAGCAAAAAGACAACCTACAGAATGGGAGAAAATATTTGTAAACCATGCATCTGACAATGTTCAAAAAAACAGAAGGAGCTCCTACAACCCCAAAGCAAAGGAAGCTAATAACCGGAATTTTAAAATAGGCTAAAGATTTGAATAGACATTTTTCCAAAGGCGACATAACAAATGGTCAACAGGTGTATGAAGAGATGCTCAAGGTCACTAATCATCAAAGAAATGCAGGTCAAAACCATCTCAGACCTGTTAGGAAGGCCATAATAAACACACCCATATATATAACTACAAAAGGTGAAAACTGTTGAGAAATTAGATCTGTTATACATTGTTGATGGGAATGCAAAATGGTACAGCTTCAATGGAAAAACAGTAGGAAGCTTCCACAAAAAAATTAAAAACAGAACTTCTACAGAAAATTATCCAGCAATCCCATCCTGGGTATTTCTTTAAAAGTATTGAAATCAAGATATGGAAGAGACATTAGCACTTTCGTGTTCACTGCAACACTATTCACAGCATCCAATGTGGAAATAGTCTAAATGTACAGTGACAGATAAATAGATTTTAAGATGTGATCTATACACACAATGGACTACTATTCAGCCTTTAAAAAGAAGGAAATTCATAATATGGGGCAACATGTTTGAATCTGGAAGACATTATGCCAAGTGTAATAAGTAGTTACAGAAGGACAGATACTACATGTTTCCATGTGGCTCGGTGGTGAAGAATCTGCCTGCCAATGCAGGAAAAGCAGGAGAAGCAGGTTCAATCCTTGGGTCAGGAAGATCCCCAGGAGGAGGAAATAGCAACCCATTCCAGTATTCCTGTCTGAAAAATCCCAAGGACAGAGGAACCTGGTGGGCTACAGTCCATGGGGTCGCAGAGTTGGACATGCTCTGCACACACACTGCAGCTGCCATTTATACGAGGCAGCTAAACTAGTCAAACTCAGAGAAACAAAGACTAGAATGGGAGTTGCCAGAGGCTGCGGGAAGGAGGAAGTGGGGATTGCTAACCATCGGGTATAAAATTTCAGTTATGCCAGATGAATTAATTCTAGAGATCTGCCGTACAACGTTGTGTCTACAGATAGCGATACTGTATTGTGCACTTAAAAATCTGATAAGGGAGTAGGTCTCAAGTGCTCTTACCACGAGAAACATTTTAAAACATTAAAAAGAGCTCATGAGGCAAATATGAGCTGTAAACAGGAGGGCAAGGAGACTCACATAGTTTCCGGTCACCAATAATACTCCTCAATCCCTTGGAAAATCATCTTGGCAGAAACGATTTGTTCTTACACAATTGAAGAGCCCACTGAAAATTATTCTTCTCCATCCCCCGAAGAGGGATCTCTGATTGGCACATGCTATTTATGGCAAAAACAGAATCAATTCCACAAAGATCTTTTTGGCTTCCGCCACGGAGCAGGCGTTGGGTATGGACGAGAATAGAATGAGAGCAGCTCCTGTTCGACTCGTAAGGCAGTGAAGCAGGAGGTTTAGGAGCAGGGACTTGGACGGTCAGATCTGAATTCTGATACTGACTCTGCTCCCACTAGCTGTGTGGCCATGAGCAAGCTGTCTGACCTCTCTGTTCTCTGGAAAATGGGGATGATAATCTTCAGGGTGTTGCCCCAGTTAAGAGACAGAAGAATGTATGAAGTGCTTTGGACAATGCCTTCCACTGAGCTGTTATCAATACTAAAGAATCCTCTAAGGTGATGCCAAAAGGATGGAGCTCTAAGGATGGAGTGCAGAGTCTCTCCCAGGAGGAGCTCCTGGTGCATCTGGTGGGAGTGGGGACAGGACATGGTTTCAGAAGAAGAGACTTGAGCTGGGCCAGCAGGGAAGGTTTCAGAGCGAGAGAGAGAGAGGCTTCAAGGACAGAGCCCAAGGTTTCAAGCTTGGGTGACTTGAGAGGAAGGTTAATTCAACAAGGTCAGAGTGTGGAAGCAAACGCCCATGGGCCTTGTTCTAGGGCAGGGCAGCTCTCAGAGAGCTGGGTGTCCCCCAGCCTCAAGGGGTAAAGCACAGGCTCAATCTGAGTGAGCCCCACGTCCAGCGAACGTGGCCTCCATGAGCCCAAAGACCCTGAGACTGAGGATTTTGTATCTTCTTCTTCCTTAGGTTTGTTCTAAATGATACTCTGCACCAAAGATGACTCATGGGTTTGTGTTTGACTCAGGGGCATAGAAGAAAGGAGAGGAGGGGAAGCCATGGGGGGGCGGTGCCAAAGCAGTGGATGGAGTGGGGGTCCCCATGATGCTGAGAAAGGATAATCAGGGAGCCCTGGGACTGCTGCCTGGCCACAGGGGGAGCAGAAAGGCTGGGTCTGGGCCACGTGAGGACAGGGACTGAGCAGGAGGGTTTGAGGTGCTGCTGGTACTTGCTCTTGGAGGCTCTGAGGCTTGACTTGGGATGTGTCTAGTGGGCAGCCAGAGATGCTGGCCTGGGGATGGTTCTGGCAGTTGGGAGGACCTCTGGGCAGGGTAGGCTCTGTACATCTGGGGTCAGCCATCTGCATGGCCCTGGGGGAAGAGCCTAAGCTTGTCCAGCACGGAGAAAGGCAGCAGCGATGATTATGGCTTCTAGAAACATCCTAGAACTGGCTCATCCTGCTTTGGAAGGACGTGGGTCAGGCCTGGGTATGCGTGTATGTGTAATCAGGTGGAGGAGGCAGCAACTGACTCTAAGAATTCAGGGGTCTCCCCATGTGGCCTCAAGCAGATAGATTGGATTGTGGGACAGTGGTTTCCTCTACCAAACGGTGGGAGCCATCAACAATTTATTTATTTGCCCTTCAAGTTTACCACGGGCCTGGATGATACCACCCTGAAGAGTTTAATGCAACCAACCAGTGGGTGTCAGGGGGGCTCCTCATTTCTGGTCTGTGCAGACCTCTTGGCACCTTCCAGATCTCACAGCAGGAGGTTCGCACTACCTCAGGCGGTGTCAGAGGTGTCTCGGCAGCCAGGGCCAGGGCTCAGCTGCAGCCCCACTTCCTGCCTCGGGGAGCAGGTGACAGCAACAACAGGAGGTGTCCAGATCACGCAGAGGGAATGTGTTCGGGCAATCCAGGTCATCACCCCGTAACAGTGCTGCTCCCCGCCTTGAGGTGGGTTGTTGGGGTGTAGGGCAACTCAGAAAGGACAGGGGGACCCCAAGAGGCCATCTGGGCCAGCCCCCTGTCCCCAGGAAGGCTAACTTCAAGACATCCCAAAGGGATGCACAAAGCATAGCCATGGCCTGTCTTGGTACCGCGGTCTGAGCTGAGGACACCTGGAGAGTGGATTGAGTTGGAAGAGGCCATTGACTGAATCTGAGAAACAGGTCTGAATTCAAGCACCTCTGTCAAGAAGCCGCTCTGGCTCCGTGGAGTGGCAGAGGCTTACGCGGTCACAGCACCCAGGAGAGGCCTGCATGTGGACCCACGCAGGCTGGAATGAGCATGCCATTTTTCTACAAATGGACACTTTAAAAACATTTACAGATACCCTCTCCTTTCTCTTAAGATTGCTCTGTTATCTTTCTTTCAGAAACACAAAAGTATCGCTTGACAAGTCCCCCTTCTCTGGGACCTTTCACAGAAATATTTCTCCAAAAACTTGTCCCCATTCACGCCCTCACCTCCCGACTCCCCAGTGTGTGTTCACTCCGCGGACACCGTGGCGCCCCTCCCTGTTGCCAAGCCCAGGCTGCTTTCCTGCCCTGGTCCCACTGATTCCCCAGAGGTTGCCCCCCACCCCCACCCCCACGCCGTGGGATCAGCTGCTGAGGGTGGGTGGGGCCAGCACCTGGGAAGTGTGGGCTGACCCGTCCCTGCTGGATGAAGCCTGTGCTGATCGCCGCTTCTAGCTTGTTTCCCGCCTGTCAGCCTCCTCCACCTCCTCCTTCCGTCTCAGCCGCCCCCACCCACCCCTGGGTGTGTCCCCAGCAGCAGGTACAAGTCGACACCATGTCCCCAGGGCTGACCTCTTCCAGATCATCAGACAACTGTACTTGAGCAATGCAGACAGAGAGCTGCCTGAGGATGGCCAACGGGTACCCAAATCCCTGGTTTTCACCCCCAATCTATTTATTTCTCTTCAGGAAATGGTGTCGGCAGGCTGATAAATGAGGACCCCACACGGCTTCCTCCCTCCTGGGTATCGCACATCAGCAAGTCCTCTTGGTTCTAGCTCAAAGATATAACTGGAATGCCAATGGCCTTCATCCTGTTCCCTTCTCATTGCTGTGTTCTGAGCCACAAGCCCCTTACTGGACACATCAAAAGCTTCCATGTTTGTCTCTTCAATTCTACCCCAGAGAGCCACCAAGGGTGACCCTCCAAAGTGGATTACAGTACCTGGTAGGACACAGTCCCCCACTGACTTCTTGCTTCTTAGATCACCCTTCTTCCTGATCACCCTCATTTTCCTCTTTTTCAGAGGCCATGCAGAAGCAACTATTTTTTAAAACAAATAATTCAGCGGTAAGCCCATCCAGCCCCAAGATCTATTCACTCAGATAACTATTTTCTGTAGACTTGCATTCCACGGACCATGTTCTAGAGCATGAACGGATGACAGTCCGAGTTCATAATACTTTCCTTTGGGGAACTATTTCCTTTCACGTAAACTCAATAAACAAAAACCTGGCTAGAGTAAACAGAAGCATCGGGGGAGTTCCGTTTCTCTTAACCAAGTGGTTGATCACTTCACGTGGCTCGAGCCTTGTCGCGTCCCGGGCACGCGGGAGCAGGAGAGGCGCGTGGTCAGGGCCGGGCAGCGGCTTACCTCCCTGAGGCAGGTGTAGATGGGACAGACCAGCACGCGGAAGGGCTCGCCCGTGCTGCTACGCATGGTGCCGAAGACCTCGCACAGGAAGGTGATGAAGCCCAGCCAGCGCTCCACGTCCTGCTGCTGCAGCTCCTCCCGCACCGTGAAGTCCTTCTGTGGAGGCACAAGAGACCCTGTCAGCTGCGAGAGGCCCGGGGACCACCCCGCTCCACCAGGGCACCTCCTGGCTAAGGCTGGGCCCCAGAGCAACTGGTAAACCCCGTGATTGCCTCAAGGAGGCAGCTTCACCCGTGACTGAAGCGTGAAGGCTGAGGACTCGCTGGTGGGCAGAAAGACCACCTTGACCTTTGGCCATGGCACCTCTTCTTCAGTGTCCCCAAATTGAGGAGCCCCTGCAGCCTTCCCTTGGGCCTCCCAGGAGGCACAAGTGGTAAAGAACCTGCCTGCCACTGCAGGAGAAGTAAGAGACTCAGGTTCAATCCCTGGGTCCAGAAGATCCCCTGGAGGAGGCCATGGCAACCCACTCCATCATTCTTGCCTGGAGAATCCCATGGACAGAGGAGCTTGGGAGGCTACAGTCCACAGGGTCACACAGAGTCGGGCACGACTGAAGCGACTTAGCACACATGCACGGCCTTGCCTCACTGACCTAGATACCGAGGTGGAGGGAATGAGATAAACAGGAGACAACACCTTTCCCAGTCATCACCTCCTCCCCGTGGCTAACTGTCTCCTTTGCTAACCTCCACATCATGCCCTTGCAACAGGCAGGGTGACCATACATCCAGCAGTGGGCATCTTGGCCGCAGCACTGGGCTGCAGAAAGAAAAACTAGAAGCATTCATTCATTCATCCTCCTTAAAGATATCAGTGCATCACTGCATGCCAGGCACTGTTCTAGAGGGTAGACTAAGACATGTTTATTCATAACTGTGACATAAGACAGAAGATACTAAAAGCCAGTGTGTGTGTGTGTGTGTGTGTGTGTGAGAGAGAGAGAGAGAGAGAGAGAGAGAGAGAGAGAGAGAGAGGTGGATTCAGGTAAAAAGACTTCGGAGGAAATCTGAGGTAGGAGTTATTCCTTCCAAATGGAAATCGGCACCTTGGAAGAGTTAGGATTCTGACCTGCGGACTGGGGGTATTTCAGGTGGAACGATGACAACAGGCAAGGCGCGGGGACGGTAACATGGGCGTTTGGGAAACAGGGAGGTATTTGCCAGTCTGTCCCCACTGTCAGTGGGCTTCCCTGGAGGCTCAGTGTTAAAGAACCTGCCTGCCAAGGCAGGAGACTCAGGTTCAATCCCTGAGTTGGGAAGATCCCCTGGAGAAGGAAATGACAACCCACTCCAGTATTCTTGCCTGGGAAGTCTCACAGAGGGAGGAGACTGGTGGGCTACAGTCCATGGGGTCACAAAAGAGTCAGACATGACTTAGCGTAGGTGAGGTGGAGAGGAAAATGGGGCCAGGGTGGGGAAAAAGAAAGCGGGGGCTAGAGTGTGGATAACCGAGGCCAGCCAAGGAGTCGGGTTCCGTGTGCTGGTTGATAGGGAAGGTTTTGGGGAATCACTGAAATGCCATCATCCTACCTTGTGCTCTTTAGAAGGTTAATATGGCATAGGTGTGGAGACCAGAAAGGAGGCCAGTGCAAAAGTCCAGACAGAATGAAATAAAAACCTGGACTCTCTGGCAGTTGAAAGACAAGAATCTGTGGTAGGTTAGGTTATGTTCAAGATATATTTCCCCTTTCCCTTTGTCTTTGTGTTAGCCATGTGACTTGCCATGGTCAGTAGAAAGAGGCAGAAATGACAGGGTGTCAGTTCTGATCTCAAGCCTTAAGAGGCCTTAAGTATTTACAGTTACTCGCCTATGCTTCTTCCATCATTGTGAGAAGACCATCTGTGGGCTGGCCAATGGTCCCAGGAGGAGGATGAGAGAAACATGGAGGGCCCCACCCAAATCTAACCTAGATCAGGTAACTCCCAGCCAACGTGAATACACGTCATCTTAATACTTATTACCGTGTGCCACGGAGATTTCTGTGGTTGGTCACTGAGCAGCAATAGCTGATTGATACAGGATTGTAACTGAAACTTCTGTGGTTGTTTGTTAAGGGGCAGTAGCTGACTGATACAAGATTGGTACAAGAGACCGTGTCAAGGTAAATAGTACTTGCTAAGTGGTGAGCTGTGGATGTGATGGGAAGGGAAGACTCAAAGACAATAAATAACAAGATTCTGGCTCTGAATGGTTGTACCACCAAAAGAAATAGAACCCAGTGGGGAACAGGTTGTAGAGTGTGACACCAGTCATTCCCACAGTCCAGCACCCCTCCCACGGCTTCTTTTGGCTGATCATTCTCCTCAGTGCTGAATCTCAGAATCTCCAGTGATGGAAGGTCCTCCTGGATGACTTGGTTAATGCCTGTCCCTTGTGTGTGATGAAAGTGCTATCGAGAAAACCTAAAAGGGCATATGGGGCCTCAGGTGGCAAATCGGGGGCTGGATGAGAGCACCTTAATTGTACTGTCTCATTTAATTGTCATAACGATCCTGTGAGGCAGGTCCTGTTATGGCCCCATTTTATAGAAGGTGAAGCCGAGGCCAGAGAAATTATGCAACTTACCCATGGCCATGGGGTGATGGCAAAGTCGGGATTTGAACCCAGGGTCTACCTGCTCTAGATACCAAATTTTTTTCCTTCCTTTTAATGATGTTTTAAGTTAGAATAGTGTATCAGAGCCCAAGCTCTTATTCACTTTCCAAGTTTGAACCTTCCATGAAGCCATCAATCCAGACTGTCCCTGGAGGTCCACTCACACCCACAGATCTGATGGGCCTCATGCCCACCTCTCAGGCTTCCTGCCTTGCCACCCTCTTCCCACTGAAATGTCTACCTGTATACAAATTGGGAAAGGAGTACATAATGGCTGTATATTGTCACCCTGCTTATTTAAGTTATATGCAGCATACATCATGAGAAATGCTGGACTGGATGATGTACAAGCTGGAACCAAGATTGCTGAGAGAAATATCAATAACCTCAGATATGTAGATGACACCACCCTTATGGCAAAAAGCAAAGAGGAACTGAAGAGCCTCTTGATGAAAGTGAAAGAGAAGAGTGAAAAAACTGGCCTAAAACTCTACATTCAAAAAGCTAAGATCATGGCATCCAGTCCCATCACTTCATGGCAAATAGATGGGGAAACAATGGAAACAGTAAGAGCCTTTATTTTCTTGGGCTCCAAAATCAATGCAAATGATGATTGCAGTCATGAAATTAAAAGACACTTACTCCTTAGAAGAAAAGCTATGACCAAGCTAGACAGCATATTAAAAAGCAGAGACATTACTTTGCCGACAAAGGTCTGTGTAGTCAAAGCTATAGTTTTTCCAATAGTCATCATATATGGAAGTGAGAGTTGAACCATAGAGAAAGCTGAGCACTGAAGAATTGATGCTTTTGAAATGTGGTGTTGGGAGAAGACTTTTGAGAGTCCCTTGGACTGCAAGGAGATCCAACCAGTCAATCCTAAAAGAAATCAGTCCTAAATATTCATTGGAAGGACTGATGCTGAAGCTGAAGGTCCAATACTATGGCCACCTGATGCGAAGAACTGACTCATTGGAAAAGACCCTGATGCTGGGAAATATTGAAGGCAGGAGAAGGGGGCAATAGAGGATGAGATGGTTGGATGGTATCACCAACTCTATGGACATGAGTCTGAGTAAGCTCTGGGAGTTGGTGATGGACAGGCAGGCCTGGCGTGCTGCAGTCCATGGGGCTGCGAAGAGTCAGACACGACTGAGTGACTGAACTGAACTGATAAAACCGTGGTCTGCCAGAAATCCCAAAAGTAGTTGGGATCTCTTCACTAGTACAGAATCCGGAATAGGCAGCTTCCACAGGGGCTTCCCTGTAGTGTTCTGGTTAGTTGTGAATGAATGAATGACTTTGCCTGCTGCCCCAGACCCTGCAATGGAATCACATTCTACAGACTGTTCCCTCTTGTGTTCTATTTCTTTTGGTGACACAGTCATCCCAGGGTGCTGTATTGCTGGCCTCAAAGTCATGAGACTTTTGGTGATTCTGTCTTCTTAACTGCTGTTCATCCCACTAGATCTTTACGTGGTCAGAGCAGGGGCAGGCATGTCCATTCCCATTTTAGAATGGGGGAAGCTCAGGTACAAAGAGCTGAAAGGACTTGACCAAGGTCATCAGTACATAACTTGAATGAGAACCTAAGCCCATCCATTGCTCTCTGCTCTGAGCTAATGTTCTCAGCCCTTCTTGCTCACTGGAGGAACTCTGAAGCTACTGATGTTTGAAGCCCACCCCAGAGAGGCTTGTGTCATGGGCCAGGGTGGGGCCAGGACACTGGTACATTTTGAAAGCTCCCCAAGTGATTTCAATGTACAGCCATCATTGAGAACCACAATGCTAGGCCTTTAAAATGTGCCAATGTGTGAGTTAAAACAGTGCCCAAGATACCCTTTCTCCATCTCCCATAAAAATGCCCGTGAAGGCAGACATAAGTCCCATAACACTAAGAAGGAAGATCACAGCTCACTGCAGGGTCCTTATCATGAACTAAAATGCTGTCACCAAGAGATTGTACTTACCCTGAGCAGTCTGGCCCCCTACCCATAAGACCCAGGCAGGGGTGAGATGGGGAGGGAGCTTAAACTGCAGCCCTCCCTCTGTCTGGCTCTGGTCGGGAGGCAAAGAGCTTGTGACTACCAACAAGACCCTGTGCCTGTGCAGCACGGCAGCTCCCATCAGCACTGCTCGGACTCTGGTCATTGGGATTCAGGGGCAGAAGGAGATGAGGAGGGTCCCTGAGTCCTCAGAGGCATGCTGTTCTCAAGCAAAGCCCTCTGGGGAAGGAAACGTCTTGGGACAGTGCAAACCCAGGACTGGAGCTTTTACACGATTACATCCAATCACAGAACAACAGCCTGACTCAGTTTCCTCCTGATAATTAGTGGCATGGAGAGAGGATTCTGTTTGGGGCTAGCAGAGCTCCTTAGAAGACCAAACACCTGCTAAATACGGGAAATTGAATGTGGGATATGCACATGAAGCCACCAGCTTCAGGTCTGAGGGGAGACGCCACTATTGAGCACACGTCGAGCAACTCTAAGGATGATCCG